AAATTCCGCCTGTTCTTCTAGAATTACTACCGGTCTCATGCCCGGGTAAAAGAGGAGGATTGGGCATGGGGTCAGAAACCCTATCCCGTAGAAAAAAATCATGCTAAAAAACACCAATCAGATTAAATAAATTAAACCAGTTAAACTCTGCCGGGGAGTTGAAGGAAGAATTATGACGCCTCAGGATGAAAGCCGAAATTCTTCGCAAGTCACGTGGCCGATTCCCCTTCTAACAACCAGAGCAAGAATTTTTATAGGCACATGGAACGTCCAGACAATGTGGGAAATAGGAAAGACCAGTCAACTAGCAAAGAAAATGGGGAGATACGAACTGGCAGTACTCGGAATCAGCGAAACACATTGGACCCTAGCTGGACAGCAAAGGCTAGATACGGGGGAGGTGCTCCTGTACTCCGGTCACGAAGAGGAAAATGTTCCACACACTCACGGAGTTCCTCTTATGCTGTCTGAAGAAGCACATGTCCACCTCATCCATAATTTCTCCACCAAGTATGATTGGATTGGTGTTCTCCGTGTTGTATTTGAGGATCTTGCTTTCTCCCTTGTGTGTCACATATGGACAAACGAAAGCAATGCACTGGACTATGAAGATAACTGTCTTTTCGAAAAGTTGTGTAAGGCTATAGAGATATTTTTAGTTGGAGCCCATGAGACAGATGAAATCAGTACATGAAGAGTTTCTGGTACACAGCATAGGATTAGCATTAATGGCTCTGATATATTCCTTAGATCTTGGACATATTATTCGATACCCTTTACTGTTTGGTTGACCAATCTTATTTAGGACATTCTATCAATAGTTAATCCCAAGAAAACCTAGGTTATTGTGGCTTGTGGAGCATCATATATTTCGGAAACTTTTCCCCATAGGCGGGAATATTATACTGAGTTTCACCGACCAATTTCAGTAAAACAATAGAAGCGGTGATGGCAACATAAGACATATTAATCAGCGGTAGAAAACCACGTTGAATTTGTCTCTCGAGAAAGCAATTTCATATTGAAGACCGTATTGACTTGAAGGTTGACAGGAACTCCACTGAAACTTTAAGATGTTATTGTTTCGTAGTTTGTTGAACATTGGAATCCCTAATATTTTAACGTTTATTATGGCAATTATGTTGGCTATTCAAGTTGGTGTTAGTAATTGACTGAGGTAAAAGTTATGAATTCCGCTAACAAATCTCAAAACGACGAAGTTACATAAAACAGGAAAGTTAAATCACTGTGTTGATGCAGCAGCTTCATGATCAGGACACTGTGCTTATAAAGGACAGACAGGCATCGTCAATATAGAAACTAGCACAGATGTATATTTGCCCAAATTATCACATCACATTAGAACTTACTTATGAAGTGTGTTCCGATTACAACATGGCAAATATTTCGTATGATCGGTTGTGTCAAACGCCTAATGTGTTTCTGAATATGTTAGTCAGCCAGACGCAACATAGTACCTAGCACATTTACATCGGTTCAAGTTGCCATACCCTATTAATACGAGATAAATTTTCAGAGTAGTAGAATTAGTAACACGATTATGGTAGCAAAATACATGAGGCATGCAGGAAACAATTCTAAAAGCACAAATCTATGAAACAATAGAGAAAATTTGATTTTGGTGAAGCTTTGTTCTCTGAGCTGGATGGTTTGGTTGTGCAGGTTTCATCGTTCTTCTGAACGAAATCATCAGCACAAACTTCAGCTACAAATCTTCTCCACCATTTCAAAACCATATGAACGTAGTATGCTTCTCTTTGTTCGAAAATATGAGAATTTCGCCAAAAGGCATGCTTCCACTCGAGAACAACTGTATTTTCTCCACGAGTGTCTTCGCCAGCATGTTCTACCAAAAAGTGTTATATACAGACCTCCAATCAACTGCCTATTGGGATGGAGAATATCCGAGCAGTGTTTTAAAGACACCTATGATCGAATACTGAATGTTAGCTACAGTACAGATGTATCATTGTTTTATATAAACCTAGTATTTAGGAATTTCCGACATCAGACAGTGATCTTTGCGTACTAGCCCTATGAGTTAGCTCATGATGAATGTTGAGCTCATTTCTAACTATCTTCAGAAATACATTGCCGTTGAATAAAAATAGAATTCAGCGAATAAAATTTCCTTAAGCTGTACATTTATATTTATAGCTGTTTGGCAAATACATAGGTCTTTAGAAAGATAGAAAAGATTGCATCACAAATAGATTTGAGATTTCAAATGAGGTTCCGTAATAAGCATGGGGTTAGAGAAGAATAGTAGATGGAAAAAGTCAGAATTATGAGAGATAATTGTATACTTGACAGATATATAGCGGTAAATTAATCCCCAAATTAGGTGGTTCTGTAAGTCTTTAACACTGATGCTGACCTCATTAGTTTTTCTAAACACGCCTAACTGAAGGACCTACGTGTGAAGGCGTCGTCAAACTCAGAATACCTGTGGCATCTTGAGATAAGAAAATTGAGAAACGCAAAGGTTATAGTAACAAATGAATAGTAATCATGAAACGTTGTTAAGGGATAATGATAACGGATCACGGTTCAAAGTTACAAAACAGTAATAAAAGCAAAACAAATTTACTTGCTGTTGTGTGGCAGGTTACATTGGCCGCACGAAGCGATCACTACCAAAATGCATCTTAGAACATTACCCGACATGGCTTTTAAAATGGAGGGCGAAAAGCAATCACCAGTTCAACCTTGAAAATGTTGCTTGAAAAGTCTCCCTTCAAAATAATCTAATGGAGGCCTAATCAAGAACCTATTCACTGATGAAGCGTTGGAGATCAACCAGTCCAAGCCCGAACTCTACGTGCAAAAACGATACGTCCAACCACTCATCCCTTATTAATATGGCGCTGTTGTTGTAGAATTTTTGATTGAGACCATGAATCGACCATTGTCAGACCATCATTGGAAACTCAGAAATACTGGACTTTTTCGTCTTGGCATGGGACCCCTCAACCGTGCGCACCCACAACCCCGCACGCGGGATGAGAACCCAGGTTCATTGGTCTCATGCGCGAACGCTTAACCTCTAGACGCCTAAGACAGCATCGATGCCCAACTTCAAGCAAGCCATGTAATTGTGCGACCATCTTGCACTGTCTGAGGTAGATACCTGACACGGATTAGCCTCACTGGTCACGATCTCTCACTAAAACTTCGAGAATTCCCACACGAAGCTAGCTACTGGTGAACACATAGTAGTTATTAGTATGGGGCTAGGATTCTTTCTTTGTCTTAATTTCCATCTGCAGCACTATCCAGTTATTGTAAACTTTACATTTCTCATTTCTATCCATATCCTTCAAGGGGATAGTTATCTCATAATTCTGACTCGTAAATTATTTTCTATTTACTATTCTTCTCTAACCCCATGCTTATTATGCAACCTCGTTTGAAATCTCGAATCTATTTGTGACGCTATCTTTCTATAGACGTATATATTTACCAAACAACTATAAATACAAATGTAAGTAAGGATTACATCGAAAATGAAATTCTCTTCGTTGGATCCTCTTCTATTTTTATGTATTGATCGTTCCGATCTTATAGAGGCTTGTCACTTTGTGATACATGTTACCATAGATCTTGAGAGCAGCCTGATAATACATCAATTTTGTGTGATAATCTTTTAATATTTTAATTTTACTTTTAAGATAGGAATAATGTATTTAAGGATAAATCTAGTTATCAACTTTTTAAAGGTACTCTCGAACATATCTGGTTGGAGTTTTTAGCAAGGTTTTTTTCTCTGGTGTAGGGTTGCCGACTCCATGCCAAACCCTTTTCTTTTACCCAGGCTTGGAACCGGTAGTGACTCTAGGAGAGCTACAAGAGATGAACAAATCTACTGAAGTTTATTTACTGACGGTTGATTAAATTTTATTGATTCCCAAAATGTATTTTCTCCTGTCTTTCTTCTATTATAGGATAGTAATATCTAATTGTCTTTTTTTATCACGATATTTAATACGTTATGTTTTTAATCATAATTTTAAAAGACAACATGCAATAATATAAATGAGATGAGTTCATATTTTATCAATCAATAGTATTATGTTTACAGAGGATATCGTGTGAACTAACATTAAATTAAGAAGTTTTTTAACACAACTTACGAGATCGAACGTTAAAATTACGAATGTATGAATTGATACTTTACATTTACGAAAGTCATGATACACTTTATGTTTTATCATAATAAGGTGTGATCGGCTAATAAGTGCGGACGGTAGTTATTTGTTAAATATTCTCCTAGCCCTGTTAATTGTTACAAGCATGTTTAATGCATGAGAAGAAATTCCTGGGAAGAGTATCCAGTATTAATCCGTGACAATCGTATCATACGTTATTGAATTGTTTCCTAGTGTTCGCTTTACCAAAACTGTTGTTTCCGGACGAAGAATATGTGAATAGTAACCGCTAAGATCTATTTGTGGACATTTATTACATATATTCTTATTATATAACCATTAAGTAACTATACTTTATGTATATTCATATTCTTTTTATTATGAACTTTATTTGACCTGTTGACTATTATTATACGATTTAATATTCTTAAGATATTCCCAATTTATTAATAACCGTCTCTCATAATCACAGCCAATTTTTGACTTGATCTTGTATAATTGTTATTTTCTATTTTATGGTATGATGCAGTCTGGTTTGATTGTATATAAACTTAGTATAACTTAAATGTATGATTCGTATTGTGGAGGCTGATATTAGCGTTCTGGACTTAAACCAGCTGGATTAGGAGAAAAGCTATCATCTCGGTAGATCAATAAGAAAACTAGACTGCTTGTATAAGTCTGTGTCTTTAATTGGTGGTCATATCACGTTACATAATTAATCCGGCATAAGGATAAAACAAAAACTATACGGTAATATCTAGCTATACGTTATTATTTCATAGAAATATTATTTAGCAAATATCTAAAACAATTAAGAAAAAGATGTCAGCTAGATATTATTGTTGTTTGGGAAAAAAAATTAAAAACTTTACATTAAAAAATCAATTTATACACATAACGATTTCGATAATTGTAAATTAAGAAAATCACAATTAACATCATTCAAATGATCATCAAAATCAACAATTTGACGGTGAACTTTTAAATGTAGAATTTCTTTTAACTTTTTATTAACATTTGGATTAAATGTGTACCTGAATTCATGAACAGAATATTTACTGAAGTAGAACTTACTTTGTATCATTCCACTTCCAATCTGATTTGCAAAATACTGTAAAGTAGTTTCCAGTTAACCGATGCAAAGCATCATTTTTAAACTATTAAATTATCAGGTTTTTTTTACAGATCGTAACCGGATAATGTAACTTACAGTCAATAAACAAACGTTGCCACATTTTTCAGCTAACTTCTCACCAATTTTGCATGCAATACTTGTTGGGCTATATTTTTTACAGTGGAAAATGAAAAAATAACAATATTACGTATTGCAATTAATGTATTCATTTGCTTGGAAATAACCACATATTTGAAGACCTTTAGCTGCACAATATGAGTCTACCTATCATTCAATTTTGATAAACATGAATTTTGACTAACATGATACAAAGCTGTTTCTAGCATTGGTGTCAAATTTATGACACTGTGAAATAGTGGAATATAGTCAGTAATGATTATTTGTGAATCACAGTTTTGATCACTTAAAAGAATACCATTGACGGAACTCTCTGGATGCTTGGCAGCATGTAAAACCATCTTTAAAAATGCGAGTTCACCAATATGTACTGCAGCTGACATTTCCAAACCAACCTAAAAATTAACAACTGAAACATTAAATTGTTTGTCTATCAAAAGATTTACACCAATAGAGGATTAGTATGTATAGAACTATAAAAAGTTAAACAGTACATTTCGGTCAGTCAGTAACAACGTAGAACTTTGTACGTACGTACATGAGTTTGAGTTGCCATACCACATTAGCACGGTACATTTAGCACTTTCAATTTTATTGCAATCCTCCTAGAAAGCAGGTGGATATCCCAGCAATCAAAACAAACTATAATCATAAACTATGTCTTCTGTATCTGAATTTAAATCACTTTGAGCAAATACAGAAACATACTTGGTGAAATTACGTTTGGTCACTGCTCAGAATGATGCTATTTCCCACTTTTTAAAATGATAGGTGTATAAATGTTTTTTTTAGAAACTAATACCACACCTTGTCTATGGTAGTAAACTCTTCAAGGAAATGACAAAGCAATAACTACAAAGACAGTGTCCTTTGCACTTTTGCTGTAAAAATATCAAGTCGCATCAGCAAGCAGATGGCTATTGAAGGACCGATACTAAGTGGATATCCATTATTGTTTGCAATTCGATGTAAACATCACACATTTAAGCTCATGGCTATTCCGAATAAAAATGTTTACATCACCCTACTACACAAACCGGAATTAAATTTCAAAATAAGGGTTCAGAACAGTTCTCAGTAGCATATATAAATATCATAATTAAACTTATCATTGTTGAAACGGAAATGTCCGCAAATAGCTGCTATTTCCTCACTAAAAATTCGTTGGTTGATGTTGACTGATAATTTTTTACTCATGACAAGCAATCATTTATTTGAAACATGGAACGCTGATTGGTGGTGACTTTAAAACTCACCTGGTATATATCTATGTAAAAAATCCTCGTTTTATTTATGAACCAGATGTTTTAGGAAGTTTATGTGGTAAGACTACCGAGTGACGTTTTATTTAATGCGAATAAATTATATTACCATCATGCCCCCAAATGCCCTGGTACGGCCGAGAGTGGGGAGAGTCCGCTCTCCCTCTCGAAATACTCTCACACGGCCACGCGTATACAGCCTCTGCTAGGGAAGTCCTACTCATTGCCTTCTCGTGGCTGGGGTGTTGTTTACGAAAATAAGAGGACGAAAAGCGAATGTCCGGCGCTTCAACCGGATTCCAAACCAATGGTGCACATGGGCTCCAGTATCCTGCGGGAACAAATAGCGTATGAACCAATCGTTGGTCACCGGCTGCCATAGGAATGCATCTCCTCACGATGCTCCACTGCCTTGTGGATCACACCTTTAGGTCAAAGGCTCGGGGTGTGGCCCTCTAAGAAAACCACCTGCTTCGTTTTGGGCACCAGGGCAGCATCACAGCCCACACACAAATAAAATGAAAGTGATGATATTTCCTGAAAATTCTATTCTCAATTCGATTCACAGTCAAACAATTCACATTATTATTATTATTATTATTATTATTTGCTACGTCATTTACTCACTCTTTTATTCCCACCTTATGTATCCTTATTTTACGACTTATACAGCAGCTCGCCTGTGATGGAAACTCAGTTCTATCTAAACGTTCTCGAGTAACTGCCTGGTTGAAAATTGTATGTTACCACCGAATATTAGTACTGAAGCAGTTTTTCTGAAACCATGTGCACCACTCAAACTGGCTGCCTTCAACGTTCGCACATTTATGCAAGTCGGACAACAGATAGGGCTGGCTATGTCTTTGGAAAGTCTTAATATTGATGTTTGTTGTCTATCCGAGACCCGTATTCAAGACTATGGTGAAGTACTAAAAGTTCGATCTCCATCTGTCGCTTCGAAAAGCTTGTTTTGCGTGCGTTTATCCGGAAACCCTGTGGCATCTTCGTCTGACCTTGCTGGCATTGGTGTCACACTAATCGCTAGAGCTGAGGCAGCACTAACCGATTGGATCCCAATTAACAGTCGATTATGTGCTGTCAGATTAGAAAGTCCCATCGAAGTGAGAAGAAATTGGCGTGAGAAACTATGTCTTTCCGTCATCTCCGCCTATGCCCCGACAGATTGCAGCTCGGATGCAATCAAGGATGAGTTTTACCACCAGTTAACTGTTCTTCTCCAGAAAGTGCGTTCGACAGATATTGTAGTACTAGCCGGAGACTTGAATGCTCAGGTCGGGCATCTAGGCACAGAAGAAAGTCGTTTAGGTGGCCGATGGGGACTCGTTGGTCGCAGGTCAGATAACGGGGACCGTCTACTGCAACTGTGCACAGACCACAACCTGTTTCTGGCTAGCACTAACTTTCGGCACAGTCATCGCCGATGTGCCACCTGGCGTCCTCCCTCTGCATCTCAAGCCTGGACTCAGATTGATCGCATCGTGATCAGCTACCGCTGGCGTGGTTGTGTACAAGACTGCCGCTCCTTTTGGAGTACCTATCTAGACTCGGATCATGCCCTGGTCTGCGCCAATTTTACCTTACTTTTCAGTGGACAACGAAGTGACCGCCACCAACGGATTGATGTTAACAATCTGGTTGCAACTTCTGTTGCTAGCAAGTATCGAACCGAGCTAGCTGCTAGGCTAGCTATCATTCCACCGAAAAGTATAGATGAACATTGGTTGCAATTGCATGACGCCATGAAAATGGCGGGAACAGTAAGTTGTGGGTTCGCGGAACGTCCCGCTAATAAGCACTGGGTTTCTTCTGGTTCCTTACAACTCATTGAAGCCCGTCGGTCTACTCCGGGTGACCGTGAGTTTGACCATAAACGAAGGATGTTACGTAAGTAAATTGGGCAAAGCTTGCGTAAGGACCGAGAAGCCTGGTGGTCGGAGCGTGCTAATGAGTTGGAAGCAGCAGCTGCATCTGGTAATTACCGAGAGCTCTTCCAACTCATCCGAGCCACTGGCAGCAAGAAGTCTGGTGTGAGCGAAACCATCTATGAGAATGACGGGATGGCAATCACTAACATCCATCGATGTCTTGGATGGTGGGCAGAATTCTTCGAAGGGCAGTTCAACTGGCCTGCTTCTCCGGCAACGTCGGTCAGACTGTCCTGCCCTCCATGGCTGGTGACGATTGATCCACCAAATGAGGCGGAAGTCCGCAAGGAACTCCAACTCTTGAAGCGCTACAAATCACCTGGTCCAGATGACTTACCTCCGGCTCTTTTTAAAGATGGTGGTGACTTTCTGACTAAGGAATTGACGACGTTGTTTACAAAGGTTTGGGAACTAGAGAGTGTACCAACGTCTGGAATGAGTCGATAGTCGTCCCTATCTTTAAAAAGGGTTCACGTCGTTCCTGTAACAACTATCGAGGGATAAGTTTACTTCCGATTGCGTCCAAGCTATTGGCTTCCGTCATACTTCGTAGGTTGTTCAAAACCCGAGAAAGATTGACTCGCGAGGAGCAGGCTGTGTTTCGTTCTGGTCGAGGATGTATTGATCATATCGTCACCCTCCGCCAAATGTTAGAACACCGCCATACTTTTCAAAGGCCAACAATCGTAGTGTTTCTTGACATCAGGGCTGCCTTCGATTCGTTGGACAGGACTGTTCTCTGGGATTGTCTATTGAAGAAGGGTGTGTCTGAGAAGTTTAATAACATTCGAAAAGCCCTATATACAAACACCTCAGGCAGAGTGAGGGCATACAACCACCTCTCTCCATTGTTCCACTCGAGCAGTAGGGTTAGACAGGGTTGCCCGATCTCACCATTCCTCTTCAACTTTGCCATCGATGACATTCTGGAAACAGCTCTGATGGATGTAAGTAATGGTGGTGTGGATCTGTTGCCTGGAGAAAGACTCCTCGACCTTGAGTATGCGGATGATATTGTCTTACTGTGCGATGATGCCCAAGCCATGCAATCCGCACTTAATCAGTTGGCAATTAGTGTCCGTAGGTATGGTATGTGCTTTTAACCTTCGAAGTGCAAAGTACTTCTACAAGACTAGCAGGATTCCAATCCTGTACTCACCCTGCATGGTGAGCAGATAGACGTAGTTGAGAAGTTCGTGTGTCTGGGTAGCTGCATAAGTGCTGGTGGGGGCGTGAGTGGTGAGATCAATGCACGAATAGTGAAAGCCAGAGCGGCTTCTGCCAATCTGGACCATCTTTGGCGCCTTCGTGATGTTAGTCTGGCTGTAAAACGTCGGATCTACAACGCGTCGGTGAGAGCAGTTTTGCTCTATGCTTGTGAAACCTGGCCTGTCCGAGATGAGGATGTTAGACGACTCTCTGTGTTCGATCATCGTTGTCTCCGAAGGTTTGCTGACATCCAGTGGCAACACCATGTCAGTAATGCAGAGGTTCGGCATCGTGTTTGGGCGCAGGGACGATAATGCAGTTGGTGTCACCATCTTGAAACATCGACTTCGGTGGCTTGGATATGTTCCACAAATGTCGTCCCAGAGAATTCCACGTCGTGCATTATTTGCCGACTCTGGGACTGGTTGGAAAAAGCGGAGAGGTGGTCGGTGTATGACATAGTGTCGTGGTATGAAGGAAAGCTGCAAAGGACTGGCTTCTGTCGGTCCTTCACGACTCCCTGGTTGGGGTCCGAGAGATGGTGCTACACAGTGGCTAGAGAAGTTATCAGATATGGCTCAGAATAGAAGCCAGTGGCGATCCTGCTGTAGCCTTCTTTTACTTTCTTGATAAAAAGTGGTTGTGTCTTCCTTAACTGGAAGATTTCTACTGGGTGTACCTTCCAGTTTCCCCCATTATTACTATTATTATTACTACACTACCTTACACCAATCTCTTCGTTATTGTTCTCTTTTTTTGCGCTCCTTACCTTTTTTTCTCTTCGAATTCTCATTGTTTTGTGTGGCGCATATATATTGGCGCTCTCTTGTACCAATATTTGTGTTCAAATAAATAATTAATTAATTAAATAAATATTACCATCATGATCCCTTTATGCTATCTTACTACAAACAAGAACCTCGTACTTTATATCTGGATCTATGAAAACTATTCTATTCGTTATTCTTGATATCAAAAACTGGTCAAATAAATCAACCTATTAAAAACATTGTCAGATCAGCTTTGGTCTAAAGTTTATTTTGGTATTAAGTAATGAAACTCTTGGTTGGGTCACGTGAAATCGGCACAGACAGATGTCTTTGAGTTACCTAGGGTATACAATACTTCGAATCATAAGGTCAGTCATAATAAAAAGTCCTGTTACAATTATGCATTTGCCCAAGTCGTCGAACCAAATTAGCATAATGGGATAAAATTTAAAAAGTGGGTAGTGAGTGAACAAGAATAATGCAGTAGTAATAATAATGAAGTATTGAAAATGCGGTTCGAAATGATAGATGCCTTTCTCGATCAGAAATTCACATTTGTGATATTTCACATCAAATTTAGGATGAATTTATTTGGGTTCCTGATTTCGATATTTCTATCGATACGTTTACCAATATATACTTAAACGCAAGTTCCAAGTTGACTTATACATGTTCTGGACTGGCTTTACGTATTTTGATATTTGTTAACACACAGTGTATCGACACAATTTGTGATTTTAGCTCGCGTAGTAGTGATTAGTCTTTTAAACGAAATTCTAACGAAGATAGGTGTGTGTCGGATGACTAAAATAGTATTCCTTTACATACTAACCACTAATGAATAAGACTCTATTTATGTCCAAGATCTGATTGTATTCAGAAATGTCAGATGACTGTTGACAGACAGCATGAACTCGAGAAGGGATGAACCTTAGTTCATTATTATGTTTGTAGGATGTCCAGGCTACCAGCTTTGGTGAAAAATTGACAAATTCAGTGTGAATTTCGCGCAAATCTTGGAAAAATCTGGCAAACACCTAAAAAGTCACACTGCTGTCAAGTTTATACACAAAATCACCACCGGTTTGGGTTCCTTTTTAACTGAAAGTCCACGATTTTCACAAATGTCCTACAAGTGCGGTTCAAGAATTAAAACTTTGAATTTAAGCAAAGTATGCTAGCCCAAACTCCTAACTTTGGGAAAAAACAACAATTTCTAGTAAATTTAGTGAAAATTCCATTGAAAGTTTC